CTGGTGGCTTATCGTTTTCAAATAATGTATCTGTGCATAAATGACTGGGTGAAAGATTGCCGTGGTCCCTTTCACTTAGCCGCTGTTGCTGTTTCTGCTTTCGTCCCAACCCGTCCCTCCTGTCCCCATCTGTGAGAGGCTGCATGGTCTGATAGAATTGCCACAGGGTGTCAGTCCAGAAATGTCAGTCCTCAGCTCTGCTGTTGGGTGCCTGTGATGCTAAAGGCAAATTCTTGATCTTTACAGATCTATAAAGTAAATAATATAAATTATTACTCACTTTCCATGAGCATTTAGGAGTATTGTGTCCAGTTCTGGGCCGCCCAGTTCAAGAAGGACAGGGGGCTACCGGAGAGAGTCCCATAGAGATTGGACAAAGATGATGAGGGGGCTGGAGCATCTCTCCTACAAGGAGAGGCTGAGAGATCTGAGGCTCTTTAGCCTGGAGAAGAGAAGACTGAGAGGGGACCTTATCAATGCTTATAAATATCTGAAGGGCGGGAGTCAAGAGGCTGGGGCCAGGCTCTTCTCAGTGGTGCCCAGCGACAGGACAAGGGGCAACGGGCACAAACTGGAGCATGGGAAGTTCTGCCTCAACATGAGGAGGAACTTCTTTACTCTGAGGGTGGCAGAGCACTGGAACAGGCTGGCCCGGGAGGGTGGGGGGGTTGGTTTCCCTGTGGACGTGTTCCTGTATGACCTGCTCTAGGGGAACCTGCTTTGGCGGGGGAGGTGGACCAGATGATCTCCAGAGGTCCCTTCCAACTCCTACCATTCTGTGATTCTGTGATTTAAAGTATGTATGAATATCGCTCTAGGAGGGTATAGCACTACATATGAATGCTTGCTGGTAAGTGGATGATTTTTCACTTTCTTAGAATTTGGAGAAGGTTCTCCTCTTTAGTTACGATGGGCAAAAACTTGAGTTAAGGCTGTTGGAGTCACTTGCAAACCATCTCCCAGCTCGAAGTAGCTAAACACATTATCTCTTCCTTGTAGACAGAAACACTTTCATCTGAAGAAATCTTCTGAAAGTTGTAACTCTGGAATACAAATGGCAGCCCTCTATACTGAAATTAATTTTGGACTTCAGAATTCTTGTCCATAAGTTATCAGGCACTGCAGGGCCAGCTTTAACCACGATCTAAAGCAAGGAGGAATTTAAAAGGCTGAAAGCCATAAGGAGCTGGCACGATATGAAACCACGCTTCCAGTAGTTGCACCTTACTGAAGTAGTCTGGGATTTAGGTATATATGAATCCACAGCGGATTAGCCAGATTAGACCTTGGATGCCTGTGGGTACATTACTAAAAAAGACCATCAGCGCTTGATGATCCTTAAACCTGACTCCTCATGGGCTGATGAGGCAGGCGACTCTGAGAAAGAAGCCATTTGCTGCTGCTCTGCTCTCTTTGCGTCTCTGCAGCATCACCAGAACAGTATCTCTCGTGAATGTGCTGCACATAATGCGTTCTGTCTCAATGCAAGATGCTGGATCTCTGGGAATCTTGAAAGAAGTTGAAAAAGCAAAGTAAATTAGGTTGGTGGGAAAGGACTAAAATATTGAAATAGCTATGAATGTAGAGTAGAGTGCTGGATGAATGCCAGTGCCTGTGAAAGTCAGACTCATGCCACTGGTCAGGCTTCTGGGAAGGTGCATTTTGTACAGTATGTTAGTGTGTATCTCTGAAAATAGTAGGCTGGTCTAGTAGATAATGTGCAGATAGGGAGTCAAGGGACTTGCAGTCTTTGCTTTTCTGGCACTGTCTTCTATCATTTGCCTTCCTTATTAAGAAAGTAAGCTCAGGGCAGAAAATTGTCCTACTTCGTGTTAGTACAGTGTAATGGGGTCCTGGCCTTAGCGGGGGCTCTGGGTGCCACTGCAATACACTCAGTAATAACAGTGGTGACCTGTTCTATATCCTATTATTCCAATATCCAGCTTCAGTTACGAGGAACAATTTATTCCAGGAAATGTGGTGGAAGTAACCACTAGAAAATATGGTTATAGTTTATTTTCTTTCCCTTTTAATGTCAGCGTTGTATAAACATTGTTTTTCAAAAAGAAAAGGGTGGCTCCTCAAGTACAGTAGTGCAGAGCTTTCCAAGTGTATTTAAAGACATTTGTATGAAATGGCTATCTGAGCAGTTTTTCTGGGCTTCTGTGCTCTGAGAATTTCAGATCTGCCTGGTAAAGGAGAGAAGCAAAACTGAATTCTAAAAATGTGTTACTCTCAGGAGCAGCAGAAGTCATCTTCTGCAAGTACAATAACAGCTCACAGACCTCCTTCTGCCAGAACAGAAATGTTCTCCTTACCTACAGCTGGTGGTGGTGCAGGTGGGAGTACAAGCAACTGTTGTAGATTTAGGTATCTACAAGGAAAGACACCAGAATGGCAGACAAATAAGGGACTTTGTGGTAATGTTTCATTGCAAAGCCTTAAGAATCTAAGACCCAGGAATTTACCGATACTGTCATATCATCAATTCGTAGGCACTATTAGCTGAGACAACTTACAAATGGTTGGACTAGTAGCCTAAAGGAATTGTTGGCCTTTGCCAAGATAGATAGAAAGAGTTACATAGAAGATTCAAGTGAATCAGTCACCAGAGTGTGTAGGTGTCAGGATGGATAATAAGCCCTTGCTCTCTTTCTAGAACTGCAGTAGTCTACAATGGGATGAGAAATACCAAATAAAAATATACTGACCACACATCGCCTGTAGTAACAAGCAACAGCCTGGCAAAATCAAACCGATCTAGTGGATTAGAGGATGGAGTTGACAGCACGTTGTTTTGTTGTTTTTTTTTTTTAATGTAGCTCGCAGTTCATGAGGGTGTTCAGATGGTACAAAAGTGAGGGAGCTCCGAGTGTGCTGTTTGTGGTAGAAAACCACTCTCCAACACCTATTGTTTAGGGTCATAGGAGTAACTACAACTCAAGTGAAAGATAATTTGGAGTACTTCTGGGTTTTACTTCAAACGAATAGAGTTTTAACTGTTTTCAGGGAAAAATTGTACGTTTATCATTTAGTTTGTTGTGTCATAGTGTCGGGATAGCCTGTATGATGGTATATAGCTCACCTCTTGGGCAGATTTGTCCAAGATTGTAAGAGGTGTTGTCAAATAAAGATGGTAATAAGCAATGGATATGTTACTGGATTTTCACGGTCAGGAGTCCCATTAATGCATTTCAGACAAGTGAGCACAGAAGTTACCAGTGAACTCTTAACTGAGTGGGAAAATTGGTGGACACAGTGGAGCAGTAGTTTTGTCAGGGACAAAAAGCTGAACGTTACCTGTGTGATTCAAACAGCCAGTGTTTTTGTTTGGTAAATACTGTGTTTTGCCGTGGCAAACTAGATTAACAGCTTAGCTGCAGGAAAAGTGAAATCATCCTGTTATCACTGCATGTGGTGGGTTTTCTTGTTTTGCTTTTATTGTGTCATTGTTCTGTATGTACTCTTGAAGATACAATGACAGGAGACTATAATACTTTATTCGAGATCAGATACTCATCCCTGGAAGTCCATCAGCTAAGGCCCTATTCAGAGCTATCAGAAAGCCCTGTATAAAGCCTATATCTAGTTACATGATTTGATCATGGCGACCGTTGGGACACATCCTCACAGGCAGAGATCTTTTAAAGCATATGCAGTTTAACGTGTGGCAAATGGGCAAAAGAATAACCCAGGGAGGCTTTCTACTGTCTCACCAACATATGGTCTTGACTGAATATTACCTCCCTAAGGAACTGACTTCATGAACAGGAGAGATTCAGCTTTTCCTGAAGGTCAGCAACACAGAGTTGTTGAAAGAGCAAAACATTACGGTCTTCTGATGACAGCACTCTTGTTTATACCTTTGATTCCATGTTCCTACTGTGTTTAAGCTGTAGAGGAAGACTTGGCTGACTTCAACAGCAAAGATGAAGCCCAAGATAGGATTGTGGTCTCATGTAACATGAATTCATTTAAATTCATCAAATGCAATGGTGATATTTTTAGGAGTAGTGTATCAGGAATATAATAAATTATATCAGGAATATAATAATATATAATAAAGATAGGCTTATTTAGTCTTTAGAGTAGCCACAACTCAAATCTTGTGGGGCTTTCTAAAGCAAGATTGGTGGTTTATAGCTGGAAAAATTCTGTGCAGCAAGCAGTGAAATCAGCAGAGCTAAGGTATATGATAAGCACTATACAAGTAGTCCCAGCAGCAAGGAGAGGGTAGCATTCTGCAAGGTCCTCAGTTATTGCAGGGGCAGAAGACCCAGAAAGTCAGATCACGACAAGGAAGTAAAAGAAGAAATGCTGTGCGAATAATGTTCCTAATTATGTTTCGTTTTTAGGTGTGTAGGCTTTGCTCTTAAAACCCCAAACATTTCAAATAGAAATTATGCTGTCCTGCCTGGGCTGCAGAAGAACTCATGCATGGAATACATTAGATGTTGTGGGAGGTGCTCTATGCATTGGATTAATGCTTGTCACATGCGTAATTGTAACCGTATGTTTACAAAAGCCAGGCCTCCAGTATAGGGAGAAATACAAATGTGTTCTGATTTTGGAAGAAAAAAAGTTTCTGCAAGTAATATTACGAGATATGTTACTTCAAACTTTTACATTTGTTATTATGATCAGTAAGGATTGCACCTCCACTTAAAGCTATGTAAGATGAAAATTATAACTGCTATTAGTTGTCCTGCTTCTGAGTATATGCTGAGTGCTTTGGAAGAGTAAATTCCCCATTACAGTATAATATGGTAAAATATTAGTGTCAGTTGCATTACACTGGGATTTTACAGCCAATTACTGCTCTGAATTATCTGTCATTAGCCCTTATTAAAGGCAGATTTGGTTAGATGGACAATTGTCTGTTGCAATTTGATTGCCAATATGTTGTTAGGCATTCAAATGAATATTTAAAGTGGATCATTGCATGATTTTTCTACAAATTCTCTTTTTATCTCCTCCTTCCTCTCCCTCCATCTTTTAAGGAGCTTCCACCCAGAATTCCAATGCAGTGGAACCAGAAAAACAAGTTGACAGCACGGTGAAAATGGCCGGAGTCATAGCTGGTCTTCTGATGTTTGTTATTATCCTCTTGGGAGCAATGCTTACCATCAAGAGAAGGTGAGTTTCTGCTTTGCTGCCATCTTTAACCTTCTGGCTAGACTGTTGTTCCTTCAAGAAGAAGAAGAAATTGGTGAAACAATTCCATTGGTGTTACAGAGGGCAACAGTTAATACCTATTTACATAACGCTACCATTGAGAAGTTTCGTCCCAGAAGAGGTGCCTGTTCTGGCAGATACTATATGAGAAACAAAAGAATGGTTGTTACTGCAAAGAGTTAATGATAATTAATTTATAATTAATGAGAAGAGATAGCTCATAAAAAAGCATGGAGAAGTACAAGCAAAAATGAGGCAATGGAAATGTGCATGTGAGGTTGTGCAGGTAGCACAACAGTGGTTTAATAGAAGAAAGAATTATTTCTTAACAGTCAAATACAATAATGTCTTAAAATAGCGTGATCAAGGGTGTTGTTCCCAAGTGAGTCCTGATGAGACGTGTTTTCACATGGCAATCTCTTTGCAGGCAGTGTGGTTAGAATCTTTCCAAGAGTTAGCTTTAGTTTACAGGGGAATGAAATTTGGAAAAATCATGTATGGTAATGAAATTTGTTCAAACATTTTATTTTGTGTGATTTTTCTTTGGACCGTTTGCGCTTACTCTCTGAAGTAGACTATTGCAGTTGCTGCTATTTGAAGAGCTCCACATTTATGGTGTGATACACTGATTCAGAAAACCACTTAGGCAAGAGATTTTCCTGAGAAAAGAATGTATTTTGTATATATTTTTACCAGTCACATTTCTGAAGTGAACCCTCCTTTTCAACAGTAATGTGATTCTAAATGAAAACGGGAGCTGGGTAGCCTGGCAGCCCCTTGTCTAGGGTACAGGTAGTATTACGTGCAAAAGCCTTGATGATTTTACTTGGTCTGTTGCAGGGAGTGCAGGTTTTCAAAGTAAAAGCTCTGTTCCTTTGAGATGTCTTATCTCTATGACAAATAGTCACATATTTCGTGAAAATAAGAGCAGCAGTTAAATCTAGATACGATCTCCTCTATCTTAATTCAGAGCACATACGCAAACGGGCTAACTCTGTGCTACAGGTGCTGGTGTGCAGGGCTGCTATTCAGAAGGACCTTGAGAGGCTGGAGAAATGGGCTGATGAGAACCTCATGAAGTTTAGCAAAGGGAAAGTCCTACATCTGGGATGGAGTAAGCCCGTGCAACAGTACAGGCAGGTTTGCAGAGAAGGACCTGGAGGTCTTGGTGGACGTGCTGAACACAAGTCAGCAATGTGCCTTTGCAGCAAAGGTGGTCAACTGCTGTGGTTTTGTTCAATGTTAAGCCCAAACAGTGTAGATGTTGCTGATTCCAGCCACCTGGGAGCTTTTCAGTTCGTAAGCAGAAAAAAAAAATCAGATGCCTCCAATGAAAAACAGAAAAAAGGGTTTCAGGAAAAAATGAGCTGGGTTTCTGGTTTGGTGAATGCCCAGTCCTCATCCCTTCCTGTTACCTTCCTAAAAGCTCTTTAAGAAAAGCTTTTATTTTTGGCTCGAAGGGTAAAACTTATAAGGAAAGCTATCAGAGCAATGCCACACTTGAACATGCTGGTGTATTTCACAAGCTATTGAAAGTTGATAGCATTTCTATCCTGTAATTTATTGTGATTATTATAAACCATGTATATTGCTGGGCAGAAAACAAACAATGATTTTTCATGATAACCAGGAATTCTGTATTTGAGGACAGTTTTTCTGTGGTATAGCCTGCCAACACCTAAGTCAGAAAGGTAAGAATACTTTTTTGAGGCAATATACTTTAAATATGAAGAAGGTAGTATTTGTGACCCCTGTATTTTCTCAAATATGGAGCTAATATTACAAAGTGGGAGGAACTCGGATGATTAGACAGTTTGTCGGTGTATGTACACTTACAAATGCTTCAGTGGCAATGAAGGAAGAGATTCTTGATACACAGCAGTGATTCAACATCTTTGCTTAATCATCTGTTTTCCACTGGAAGCAGGAAATCCAGCAAAAGGCCAAGTTATCAAGATGTAGGAATCTTTCAAAGAAAAAGTAAAAATTTACAGGTTTAGATTATCAGGTTTTTTGTGCTTTTGTTCATTTTTAAACGGACTCTACATATTCTTTGCGTAATATAACAAACTTTTATTAGAGGTCAGGAGGAAACTTAGACGCTGTTTTATTGTTTAGTTAGCACGTGTATAAAATCAATGTATTTAGCTTAAGGGTTTTTTTCTGATGTATTTTTAACTCAAGTGAGTAAATGATGGGGAGATCTATCAAGATCGAGCTTTTTCTGACATTTGGTTCTTCTCATGTTTCGGCTGTCATGACTGGTGCAGTGTAAGTTGATAGCTCATACACAGGGAAACAGACAAACCTAGAATCAAAAATACTTGTAATGCAGAGCAAGTTCTAGAGGCTGAAGACTGAGGACCCATTTGCTTGATATGAAAATTCCCAAGCTAGTGCTGCCCTGAGCTGGCCCCCTGACGCGGTGCCCATGTTCTCCTGTGGAACTAGCCTGGTCCTAAAAGCAGTAACATTTAGTGACTTTGGGTGTGCTGTCCCGTGGGCAGAACTTTGCTATAGCTGGCTTTGCCATTGACTCTGTTAACCTGGGCATCTTTCTTCAGAATGAAAATTAGAAAGGAGGTGAGTGGGAGTATTAGAAATATAAATTCTCCCCTTTTTCTTTCTAGACCTAGAAAACTACATTTTCCTTTGTGTCGTTCCCCCGACCCCCGCAGGGCAAACAGGCCAAATCGCTGCTGTCTGTATCTCTCTTTGCCTGTTTGCTGTCATTTGCAAGGTTACCCACTGGCTTACACACTATTATAAGAAATAAACTGGCTCATCAACTTTAAAATCTTTTCCCATTTAGAAGCTATAACAGTGCAGAAAGAGGTTCTGGAGGCTTGCTCTCTCTAGGTCGGTGTGGCCCACCTCCAGCACTGCTGACAGACCTGCTGATTGTGTGGGTCCTGGGTTTCCCTTGAATGGGCACCAGCAGTCACGTCCGACTGAGGCTTGGAGCTGCATAGGGACAAGTGTTCCCTGAAGATGAACTTAAGCCTGTCAGGCTCATTTCATCTGTAAACTAATGCGGATTGGGACCAGCTTTTATAAAAGGCGAGGCCGCTTTGGACCACAGATTGATTGGAACTTCTGGAGGAGCACAGCTGAAAGCTTGCATTTGTCTGAAAGAACAATTGAACAACAAAGTTCTCTTTCTGTTTGACAAACGGAAACACTAGGGGCTTAAGCTCTTGCATTCAATTTTTGCATTAACCTTACTTTAAAACGAGTTCCCCTTCTCAGTTCACTAAGGCTAATGCCTCAGCGTACAAGACAGCGTAGTCTTGCAGGGCAACAATGCAGAAAATAATTTAATTAGACAAACTTGAGGCATTTTCTTCAAATGGAGCTGGAAAATATCACAGTGACATTTGTTCATGGTCCGGGGCATCGTAGTTCGTTGGTAATAGGCACAATAGTGGATTTCCTGAATGAAGCGTTTTGTTAACCAGTGCAAAGAGCAAAGGAAGGAGCAAGATTAGAAGAGACAGAGGCACTAAGAGAAAGCAGACACTGGTTTGAGATTAGGATTAGGCAGATCATCAGAAGCTGCTTTTTGTTTCTGTGAGATGCACCAAATCAGCGTACTTTCCTGAACTTCTCATATGCAAGGCATGAGCAAGTGTTGCCCGGTTGCTCGTAGTTTCAATAGACCATATTGCAATAACTCCTAGTGACTTGCAAATTTCCAGGGCTGCCAGTGTTTTACAAGGTTTAGTCAGATATGTGAAGATAATTAAGCCAGCCAGAATGTTTTACAGAGTGGAAAAATTGAGTTTGACTTTACCTTTGTTATCTGAAAGTTTTAGCTGAACCCTGGGGTCGCCTAAAGTGTGCTAGAGTTTCTGTATCTGTATATCTGTGTAAAAATCGTGTATACATATATATAAATTTCTGGTTTAAATACAGCTATCTTATAGTATCTAAAATCAAAACCATTAACAAAATTTGTTTTCTGGGTTCTGGGAGCCCACTAGCTACATGAGTTACATGTTTACGGCTCTACTATCATCATATGTATGTGGACACACAAACTGCTGCAATATAATTTAGCCTATTAATTTACAGGTGGTGATCAGTGCCCACAGGAATGCCTTTGCCCACATAAGGCAGTACCACTTCCTTTCATTAATAGATACATACCTTGAAACACCTCATTTTTATTGTATCAAAACATCGCTAATTCTCTAAGGAGCTTGTTTGTTTGTTGTTAACACTTGTTAAATGTTTTTGTGTGATAGAGAATACAGGACGGGTTAGTAAAAACAAACTGAAACAAGAAAAATAAGGTATTTGTAAACTACTTTTCTGGAGAAAATACCCTTTGACTTTCACCCCCAAAAGGATTAGATTCTGGTCAATTCTGATTTCATCTGGACACTTTTCACTCTGGTGTAATGGTGACTTGCATTTCCCTGGAGTGAAGAATGTGACACTTTTCAGGCTTGTCCGTTTGAGTGGACAAAGCCTCTAGTGACCTCTTTAAGTGTAAGACTGAATAAATAGGATCAGACAGCCTGTCATGAGTGCACTGTAAATAAATTCTTTAAACTGCTGTTGGTAGCAAAAAAGAAGATTTGGGGCTATGTAGGGTGTAGGATTAGTTCCTTCTATGAAAACTCAGCTCCTTATTCTGGATTAGGATTTCGGTGGTTACCTTAAACTAATTAAATAAAACCCAGAAGCCTCTTGAGCAGAACATACCCAAGCTATAGGATAGAATTAACAAAGGGATATTTGCACATTCAGTGACCTGTGTCCTTATTTGAGGTGGATGACAGGCAGGGTTTTCAGACTGTGTGATACATTCTGGGATCATATTTTTAGTGATCCGTAACTCTCTGACAACTTTAACAGTCAGTTTTGAAGTATTCTTTAGGAAGTCCTTATTTTAGGTTGTGTATTTCGGGAGAATTTGAGCCAAAATGGCCTGTCCAGTTCCAAAATATAATCCTCCTTTTGTCTCTCTTCCTTTATTTTCTGTCTAAGGAATAACTCTTACTGAGCTTTGCTCTGCAGCCTTGAGGGATACGCAGCTTTTTAATGAGAACCAAGTCTCAAAACCAAGTCTCGTGTGATCACATATGTCTGCTGGCCAAGACATGAGAAAAACAGAAAGTACAGCAAGATGTTCAATGGAATAATTACAGTTGATAGCATTGTGTGAAACCTGGCACTGGCCTATCAGAGGGGCTGATTTAAAGGCATAATTTTTGGAGAGGTAGGGGGTTCGGCTGCCTGGGCTCTCATTTTCCACTTCCTCGTGATTTTTCCATTTGTTTAGAGGTTCAGAGGAACTCAGAATTTCACAGTGAAGTTCAGTGGCAATCACTGCACCTTAACTGGTGCATTGCTATGGCGTGTAGAATTTCTGGGTTTCAGGAGATAGTAGCATGATGTTGAAAATACATTCAGGTGTGCCTTGGAGTGGGTGTCATTCAAATAACTTGGCATATACTGGGAGTCTGGCCAGAATTTCAGGTTTATATCAAGGGCCACCACCAGGCAAAACGTATCCTTTCAGAGTAATCCTCTTGAACAGCTGTAAGTCACTGTCCTTTACCCAGTGTGTGCATAGCAAAGAGGGTGATTGTGGACAGAGAGCAACTGTGCTGAATCTGGTTTCCATGTGTGCCTGTGAAAATTGTGCTCAGAGCAGCAATAAAAGTGAACACTTGAACCCTGCATTTATACTTCTAAGTACTTCCTAGTATTTGTAGTGTCTTCAAGGATGGGATTTTAAAGTTGTGCAATAGGCTGAAAGTTGCATTTCATTGTTTTTCCCAGTCTTGACAATAGCTGCTGCTTTCGAGGCTCCCTTGTGCCTTGCTGTTAATTTGTAATAACCTGTGCTAGATCTGTTGTGAAACAGCCTTTGCAGAGAAGCCCTTTGCCAGTCATGAAAGGGAAGACATCACCTTTTAAGTTAAAACTGATTGCCAAGGCTCGTTTTGTGGCACTGCTCGCAAACGTATCAAAATGTTCTGAAGCGTATTGTTGAAAAACTGTGATAGAAAATGCTTAATCACAGTGACGCAGAAAGCTAATGCATACCCCCAGTGATCATCTATAAATATGGAGTGATGCTTGAATTGTTAATGAACTCTCTGCATTTTAGAGTTTGATGAAGCTTGATTTGTCATTACACAATTTGCTCATTGTCTGATATTTGGAAATTGTGGTGTTCTTACATTGTCGCTTTCCTATTTATTGTTACTATTCATAGCTCTACATATTTCTTTCCATTCCAAAAATCTCAAAGCACTCTACAGGCAAAGGTAAGTCTCATTACCTGTGTTACTGACATGGTAACGTTAAGGAAGAAAGAGGTGAAGGGATTTATTCATAGTGGCACGAGTCGGTAGCAGAAGTGGAAACACAGCCTGCATTTCCTGTCTCCAGTCCAGTATCCATTCCCCACTGACGTATAGCTCCTGAAAAATGTGTGGGAGAATAGTAGCTCAGTACAAAAGGCAGCACGAATACTTTGTATATTGAAAAGAATCCTAGAGTTCATGTAAATCTAATGATGTGTTTTTCTTTTTTTTCTCCTTTTGGATATTTTGTTCATCTGACTGGCCATCCATATTTAGAAGGAATGCATATTCCTACTCCTATTACTTGTAAGTACATGGCTGGGGATGATGTTTCTTGAGCGTGCTCACCCTGTGGTAATTTTGTGCTTGCTTGTATTGTATTTTTTTAAAACACTTTTTTTTTTTACCATTCCATTTATCCTTGTCTTTCCAGCAGCTTGTGTTTTATTTTCTCAGTTTCACACTGTTCTCCCTGTTTTGCCATTGCACCTATAACTGTGCTTGCAAACACATAAATGTCCACAGAGCTGTCAGTTATGGTTTATGGTTCTTCAGATGCTAATGGACAAATACAGTGTGTCCTGACTGCACCTTTTTTAATTGTCCGTTGTGTTTAGCCAGACTGCAGGGAAATTCAGACCTGGAAGTTATTGTTGGGAATTTCTCAGCCTTGGATATAAGCTTTTTAAAAATGTAAGGTTTCTGACAACTAGGACTTGATGTTATCTCAGCAAACATCCCTGTTCCTGGAGTTGCCAGGTTCCGAGTGTCAGTTTAGACCGCTGGATGATGAAGCGGTCCAGCTACTCAGATCTAAATCACCTGTCCAGTCCTAATGACAATGCTGCATAATTAAGGCAGTTGTTAAGGTGCATGAAAATGCTTCACACATCAGTACTTCCAGAGCCATCTGTTGTCTAAAGATTGAGGGGCTGGAAAATAATTGGGGCCAAGCTGTTTCTGCCATGATAATAGTTGTCTGAGGATCAGGAGGACAGGACTGGATCAATGATCTGAGGAAAGAGTCCTGGAGAACTGAGTTGGACGCCTTTGCTGCCACCG